GGTGGATGGGCCCCGGGTCCCCGCCGTCCCGAGCGGAGGGCCCGTGCTGCCCAGGTCGGCAGGAGGTGGGCCCAGACCAGGGGTGCAGGCCGGGGCCCCCTCCAAGCAGGTGACCAGCCACTAGTCTGTACCCGGGTCCTGGGGGCTGAAGTTCCACGGCCGGGGGCAGCCTCCTGAACTGACCCTCACAGGTCCTCCCAGGCTGGCCATGGAGGTACATGCCGCCCGCAGTCCATTCTCTGAACCCTGGTTTAGAGGAAGAAGTAGCCTGGCCGGTGGGGCTCAGTGGTTCAGCATCAGCCTGAAGGAGGGTCTGGGTTCGATTCCCGGTCAGGGCACAAGCCGGGGTTGCAGGCTCGATCCCCAGTGTGGGGCGTGCAGGAGGCAGCCGATCCATGATTCTCATCATTGAAGTTTCTATCTCCCTCTCCCTTCCTCTCTGAAATCAATGAACATATATTAAAAAAATAATAATTAAAATGAAAGAAAATGGGACCCAGTGGTGTTAAATGTAAGGGACTCGATCCCCAGGCCTGTGGCTCCCACCTGCCCTTAGCTCCGGTCCCCCGGGTTGCGTGGTCAAGGTCACTTGCACCTCTTTCCCCACAAAAGGCACAGCCTCCTTCCATCAAAACGTGAAGTTTTATCACCAATAGAGTTTCTAATTTGGGCTTAATATTTATCAAAATATGTCCTAATTATATTGTTTGATGGGTTCTGTGTTACTGCTTCTGTCATTACTAACCACTTTATAATAAAACATTTTAACCAAGTCACAGGGAAACAAAACTTTGGATTTAAGTGTTTATACAGTTTTTATTGTAGCGAGTGTGATAGAGTGATCAGTGCTGAAGTCTTTCAAACGTGAAAATATATTTGCATCCTCCCGCAGCGGGAGAGTCCAGGAAAACAAGGAGAACGAGGGAGGACGTAAAGTATTTAAACCTTAAGAAGCAGTTTGTTCGGGTGACAGTCACGGTCACGTGACCCCGAGTGTTTTTATTCCCATGAATACCCTGGAAATGGTGATGCACCAGGTTTATTTTTAGAAGTCAGTTTTCAGATCCTACTGGACTTTATCATGACTTTCATATTTACATTGACAGTTTGAGCTTTATATGAAAATTGTAGGTGACACTTCCATGGGCAAAGGGCTACATACCTTTTCAAAATTATTTTATGGGCCGAGTGAACAAAACCTGGGGGAGCGTTGCTGCAGGCCTCAGGGTCTGCCCAGGGTGGGAGCTGGGGGGTGGGGGGTGAGGCCCAGCTGCTCCCAAATAGTGTCCCAGGGAAGTATCGGGGCCTGCTCCTCAGGGCACCCCCTGGTGCCATTGTCCCGGGGAAGGGCTCGGGTGCAGAGTGGGGGCTACCCTGGACCTCGAGGGGCTGTCGGGGGTGTTCATGGCTCCTGCAGCAGGGATGGCTCCCAGGGTCCGTGCCCAATAGCCCACTCGCAAAAGGGCCTGCGCTTCGTCGTTTTACAGAGAGGCCCTTGTAAGAACGTTTTTCCCGCGTGTGTCACTGTAACTCCAGAAGCATCAATAAGAGGATAGTTTAAACTACTTCAGTAGATGCGTGAAGTTTTACCAGTGAATATATTATGTTTTACTCACGATTCTTATGTATATACTTTTTTATTGATTTCAGAGAAGAAGGGAGCGGGAGAGAGGGAGACAGGAACATCAATGATGAGAGAGAATCCTGGACCGGCTGCCTCCTGCATGCCCCCCACTGGGGATCAAGCCTGCAACCTGGGCCTGTGCTCTAACCGGGAATTGAACCGTGACCTCCTGGTTCATAGGTCGATGCTCAACCCCTGAGAGACCTTCTCATCGGATAAGCCAGGAGTTATAATCTGCCATCAGACCCTTAACCCTGTGCTCCCGACATGAATAGTCTCGTTTAAATAAACCATAGTAGCCCGGCCCATGGATGTTTCTCTCTCTCTCCCTCCCTTCTTCTCTGAAATCAATAAAAATATATTTTTAAAAAAGTGGCAGCCCCACCGATGGGCTGAGGCGCAGGCCTCCTGTCAGCGCTGTGTTCGCCGCCCTCACGGGGGTCAGGCCCACACGCCCGCGGAGCTAACTGGGGGGTGACTGTCTTCACAGGCACACGGTGTGGGTCCCCCGTTGCCTTTGGGTCAGGTCGTTGGTCAGTATTGGGAATGTGAAG